GCTATTGTTTGAGCCAAACATTGTTTTATTTAAAATCGAGGCGAGTGTGTACTTTATAGCACTCGACCTTCCTTGTTTTTCCACTGAGGCTCCACTTACTGAATAAGTTAACATGAAATGAGATATTGCTATACATGACTGTGCTTAAGTTGCTTGGATGATATTCCATCAACTATTGTTACTGTTTCGGTACCCAACCTCATAGGTGAGTCGGTAGTATTGAGCCAGCAAGGGCTTGGTCGAGAAGGCCGATAAACCTTGAGGACTGTTTACTACACACTGAAATCGGTATACTCGAGTATTACCAAACTACTGTTTATGGAGTACGGGCCCTGTAGGGGGTTGATTTGGTGGACAGAGATTGGTGAAAATGGTGTTCTACGGACCCTTTTATACTGTGCTTACAAGTGTTGACGGAGTGTCAATAGAAGGCAATTATGATCAAGCTCCAGGGGATCTTTGGCTTTTGAAAGCCACCCGTATCCTTGAATTGAACTGTGATTAACTGTTACTCTACTGAATGGTTTTATTTGGTTGTTTTGTGACCTTATGTGAGGACTCGCAAAAACTATTATTTTATGCCTAATTTATGGCTTAATAAATTATTTAATTGGATTTTTATTTCCAAGGAATATTTTCTAGTCTTATGAGACCTAAACGCATGATAATATAACTTCGTTATATTTTTAAAATGATTCGTTTCGAAAATTAATTTCCTAGAGCGCGTTCAGTAAAAATAGTGAATAGTACTTGGAGATTTTATCCGCGTAGTAGCACAATAAGCTTGGAATATTGGAGACTTGTACTATGGTCCTAAAATAGGTGATCTTATGAATAAATATTCAAGTGATAGTTAGTGGTGCAATCGTTATAAGAATTTTTCGAAAGTTTCGCGTTATAGCGTTAAATTCGACGGTACGCGTTTTCACGCGTGCGACTTCGATTGAGGGACTTTAGACCCTTATTCCGGGACAACTAAGAGTGAATAATATTTACATGAATATATATGCATTGGAGGTTTAGTGCACTAGTGAACCAAACGCGCGAGAAAAATCGAGTCCAAACGCATCCTAATTGCACTATTTCAAGTTGACTTTGAGGTGCATTTTGCACCACACAAAGAATCTTCCTTTGGAAGCCAATTGCATCAGCACTCTCTCTCTCTTCACCTCACTTGGCCGAACAACAAGAAGGAGAAGAGCTCTCCATTGTCTTCATTTTTCATCTTCAATCCATGCACCAAAATCCACCCAAATCACACCAAACTTGGAGATCTCTTAGCAAACCACTTGGAGACTACATCTAGCTGAGGAAGGGAGCTTTCACGGTTTCTTTGGAGCTTCAAGAGGGCCGAAAATTCTGACCTTGCAAACCAAAGGAGTAGGTAATGATCAACCCTTGGATTCTTATCTTTTGGAGATTATATGACAAGATTAAGTTCATGCATGCACTTAGTTACTTGTTTATGGTGTAAAAATGTGATTGTGGGCTCTTGGAATTCCCACACTTGGGTTGTTGTTGCTGATGTGATAATTAATGGTGATTATATTGTTGGTTTAGTGATTATAATGATGCATTAGTGGTGGGTAATTAGTAGGAACTTCATTGGGTGCAAGAAGCAAAAACTTCCGATTCTACCCCTGTTTTATTCGGCCATTTTAAGGCCAGTTTTTAATGAACTAATGGCTTGAACTGGATGCTTATATGATGTATTAGAGGTGTGGAAAATTTCATTGAAAAATAATGAGGTTTGAATGGGCAAATGAATTTTTTTGAGAAACCAGCAAATCTGGAAACTGATTCGCGTATGACTCTGACCAGCAGTAGTATTTTGGCTATAACTCTGTCCTCGGATGTCGAAATCATGTGCCGTCGGTGGCGTTTGAAACTACACATTCCTAGCTTTAATTTGGTATATAATGCACGTTCTGATTCTTTGTGAGCAAGCCGAACCAAATGTTTTAAGTTCGATGTCCTGTTGCTCTGTTCATCTGGAATAAAGTGTTCAGGCAGCAACTTGATGCCCGAATTTGAACCAGATGAGTGCCGAATTTGGAAATGATTTCTTCTGTGATATTTTAACTCTATGAATGTATTTTCCAACGGCGTAAGCCATGCTCAATTTCGAGCTATATTGACTGAGTTGTGACTGAAACAAGGACTGCTCTGTTTTGGAAAACCCTAATGTTTGGACTGGTTTGGAACAAAATCTTGGAGTGAACTTGTTAGTTGATGTTCTTGATATTAAACACTTACCAAAGGTATCATGGATATATCTTAGACCCTTATTTCACAAATGAACCATGGTTGGATAACTTTCTTGGTTAAACGATTGGAAATTTGGAAAATGAAAGTCAAAGGCAGAATTGCCTTAGGATTTTTCTTGAACTTTGGTTGGCTAATTGACTACCTTTCCAAAGGTATTTTTTTCCCCGAAATTCGATAGAGAGATACTTTCCATATAGTATTGAAATACTGCCAATTTTGGTGCCAATTCAAGTTCGTTTCGATACCCAATTGAATTACTAAAGTTAGAGGTTCAAATCTGGAAAATTCTCATCCAGTCTTGAATTTGCTCAACTTCGGGCTACCGTATCTCGGTGCTCGAAACTCCGATTTTTGATCCGCTTGTTTTGTCCTACACTTCACTTGCAACACTAATTGAGCTGAAAATTTCAGAGGCCGGTTTGCAACGTGCGAATCGTGCCGAATTTTCAAAGTTGGCCAAAATCCAACTTCATTCTGCCTTGTGAACCAACCCAGCATCTTCAAGCTCAATTTTGACCACTTTTCACTTTGATTCATGGAAAAGTGTCTTCTAGGAACTTATAGTACTCTCTAAGAGGTTTCCAACGGTATAAAGTTTTCCAATTCTCGACTTATGCCGAGCGAGTTATGATTTTTCAAAGATTCATCGTAAAACTGAAAAATTTTCCAACTTCAAAGAAATAGAGTTTTTCAAGAACTCTTTATTCTTTTGATATTCTTAAACGTTTTGCTTACGATTTTCAAGATAAAAACTCAAATAATATTGTACCTAATAAAAGGCAAGTTGAACCTCGATTTACGTGTAATTGAGGTTCCTTTTTGTAAAATAATTCTTAGATTGTACTAGTGTACAATCTTTCTTGATAAGTGGGTTAATTGTGTGATTATCCACTATTAAATTGCCAGGCGCGCAGGGAGACCTTCAAGAGGATCTCACCGTGGACACTTGAACTTCCGGAAAATAATTCTTATTGAATTGCTCGGTGAGTGTCAAGTGTGTGAATTTTGATACTTGCTTATTGTGGGATTTGTGGAAAGTTTTAAAAATAAGGGCGGGTGCGTACTTTATCGCACCCGTTCTGATTTCAAATGAATGAACGAAATGTATTGAATGAATGAATGAAATGTATTGAATGAATGAATGAAATGCAATGTTATGTCATGAATGCTTATGTCGTTGGAGTGAACCTCCTCGACTTTCAAATGAATGGGGGACGCCCAAACTCATAGGCCGTCCTTAGACTCGAGCCAGCAATGGGCTTGGTCGGGAATTTGGACGAGCCATGAGATACAAATAAGCTCGACCTAATAAGAGGTCTTGCTTGGCATACTCGTTGAGTATCGCCCAATATTGGCCATTGTGGGCCCTTGGGGTGTACGGTGGACGGAGGGAAGTAAGTGGTGATCTACGGAAATGGAAATACCGACCCGGTTGACAGGAGGGTCAATGCGGGAAGGTATACGAATGACAACGGCAGATCGAGTGGAACATAGCTCCTGAGAGCTACTATATCCTTGAATTGTTTCTGATTACCTTTCCTGTTTGATCGATTGATTATTGAAAAGACATGGCTTTATTTATTAAATTTGGGATTGTTATTTGACTAAGTGCTTGCATGTGTGTTCTTGGCCTCACGAGCGTTTAGCTCACCCTATAGTTTTGTTTTCCTTAACAGGACCGACTCTTGGAGAAATATGGAGAAACCATCCGTTGTAATTTTGTTAAGACTCCTGTTATATATTTTGACTAGGCCCTGGTTTGGGTTGTACTCGTGGAAATTGTAAACTTGAAAAGTTTGGGCCCTGATGTGTACTTTGAATTTAAGTCGTTTCATGACTACCCGATGTACTGGTGATACATTAAGTGACTTGTTAAGCTTGAACGCTTCCGCATTATTGTATTCGTGTTGATCTCATCGAAGTGTTTAGTTCGATTTTAAATTGAATGGAATTGCTTGAGTCCTGGCGTGAGCTGGGCAGGCGTCCGCGGATACCCTTTGGTCCGCCTTAGGGAGATGTGGGGCGTCACACCTTATATGGCTATGTGGTTAATTGTTTTACTTGGAACCTCACTGGGCTTTAGCTCACCCCATTCCCTTTGTTTTCCTTAACAGATCGGGAAGGGATTTGATCAAGAGTTTACCTAGCATTGTTTTGCTATGAACTTGTATCTTGATATTGTAACCTTTTGTTTAAGAAGACCTTACTTTTGACTCCTGTAAGCTTGATTCTATAAGTCCGACATATGTTATGTAATTGTAGTATGGAGTGATAAGTGTGACTTTTAGCTTGCCATTTGAAGTTTGGAAAGTTGGCTTGACGTTTTTATGCCATTATGGTTTGTACGCTTTGGTTTGAAGTTATTTCTCCAGTTATTTGAGTTGCTAATTCTTTGATCGATCGAGCCCCGGCAAGAGCTGGGCAGGCAGCCTGCTGATACCCTAGGGTCCACCCTAGGGAGAGGTGGGGCTGTCACACATGTGACTTTTGCTGTCTTCCAACTGGAAGGGGCAGCTCGTTCCTGGTGGAACGTAATACGACAAAAGTTGGACCGAGAGTAAACACCCAGAACCAGGGTGAACTTTATGCGGGAGTTCAACACTAAATTCTTCCGTCCTCTAGTTCTGGAACGGAAGGAAGACGAATTTATCCGGTTTCGCCAAGGGACCCAGACAGTGACCGAGTACGAGAGCCAATTCACTAGGTTGTCCAAATTTGCGCCTGAACTCATCATGACCGAGCAACGAAGAATACGGCAATTTGTCCAGGGTCTGAACGTGGAGATCCAGAAGGATCTAGCCATAGCCCAAATTAACGCCTTCAGCGACACCGTTGAGAAGACGCAACGAGTAGAGAATGCTAGGCTACAGGTGAGGAATTTTCAAGCTAAAAAACGAGGATTCCCTAGTAATAGCTCGGGGCAGGGGGATAAGAGTAGCCCTCCCAAACTTGGACAGGGAGCCGGAGGTGAAAGGCAGCCGAGTGTAAGTAGAGGGGCTCAGTCAAGAGGTCGCCCAATTGGGCGAGGCCAAAGAGGAAACTTTCAGGGGGGCTCAGCTTCGGCATCTCGTGGTCCCTATGGGCATTGTGGGAAGCCAAACCATACAGAGGACAATTGTTGGAGGAAGAAAGGAAAATGCTTACGCTGTAGGAGTGTCGACCACCAACTTGCCTCCTGTCCGGTTCTAAAACGAGATGGAACAGGGAGCCAACAACCATCGAGGACCAATTCTGGGCCAGTTAAGGGGGAAGGGACAAAATCCAAAGTGTCAGCTCGAGTGTACTCATTAGAGCCACAACAAGTCCCTGTATACCACCGATTTGTAAAGGTCTTAGTAGATCTCGGTGCCACCCATTCCTTTGTTAACCCCAATTTCATGTGTGGTGTTGATATAAAACCTGCTAGTTTACCTTATGACCTAGAAGTCAGTACCCCCATGGGGGACCATCGTCCGATTACTAGTATGGTTTTATAAGGATTGCGAAGTTTGGGTAGGAGAGAGGAAATTGTTAGGGGATTTGATAAACCTGTCTATTAAGGGGTATGATGTAATCTTGGGCATGAACTGGTTAGCCAGGTATAATGCACAATTGGATTGTAAAAGAAAGGTGGTAGAATTCTGCATTCCTGGGGAGGCGACCTTAAGGTTAGATATAAGGGGAAGGTTAGCCTCATCCGCCTTGATCTCGGACATTCGGGCTAGAAAACTGCTAAGTAGAGGGGCGCAAGGGTTCTTAGCCTTTCTAATCAATACCCTCACCGATAAATTGAAGGTAGAGGATGTGCACATAGTGAGGGAATATCCAGACGTATTTCCTGATGAGTTAGTAGCCCTACCTCCAGAGAGAGAGATAGAATTCAAAATTGACCTGTTACTGGGAACGTCACCTATCTCGAAAATCTCGTATCGGATGGCACCTGCTGAGTTTAAGGAGTTGAAATTGCAGTTACAAGACCTTTTGGAACGGGGTATCATTCAAGAGAGTGGGTTTCCTTGGGGAACCCCTGTGTCATTTATGAAGAAAAAGAACGGGAGTCTGCGGATGTGTATAGACTACCGGGGGCAGAATAATGTAACGGTTAAAAAAAGTATTCACTGCCCCATATTGATGAGTTATTTGACCAGTTGCAAGGAGCAGTGGTCTTTTCGAAATTAGACCTTCGATAGGGGTATTACCAATTGTTGATTAGAAAGGAGAATATCCAAAAAATTGTTTTCAATTCGAGATATGGGCACTATGAATTCGCGGTCAAGCCTTTTGGACTGACCAACGCCCCTGCCGCCTTCATGGATTTAATGCATAGAATTTTTAAGCCCTACTTGGATCGATTTGTTATGGTCTTCATTGATGACATTCTAGTCTTCTCAAAGACGCGTGAGAAGCATGAGCAACACCTAAGAATCGTTTTGCAAACCCTAAGAGAGCATCAGTTGTACGCCAAGTTTAGTAAGTGTGGGTTTTGGTTGGAGAAAATTTCTTTCTTAGGGCACGTAATTTCTCAAGAGGGCATCTCGGTTTACCCAGCGAAAGTAGAAGTCGTGACTGATTGGAAGAGACCTGAAAACCCCACGGAGATTCGTAGTTTTCTAGGGTTGGCTGGGTACTATAGGCATTTTATTAAAGACTTTTCCAAACTGGCCGGTCCTTTAACCGACCTAACGAAGAAACATGGTTGTTTTTATGTGGGATGCTAAGTTCAAATCGAGTTTTCGGGAGTTAAAGAAAAGATTAACCATGGCACCGATTCTAGCTTTATCACACGGGGTAGACGGTTTTACCGTTTATACCGACGCGTCGTGGGAAGGTCTGGGTGTATGTTAATGCAAAATCGGAATGTAATATTTTTTGCCTCTAGGAAGTTGAAACCCCACGAGCAGAATTATCCAATCCACGATCCAGAGTTAGCCACCGTTGTTTTCGCTCTGAAAAAGTGGAGACACTATTTATACGGGGTGACCTTCGAGGTTTACTCAGATCACAAGAGGCTTAGATACCTCTTCTCGTAAAAGGAACTGAACATGAGGCAACGATGATGGATGGAATTTCTGGAGGACTCGACTGCACTATCAACTATCATCCGGGGAAAGCCAACATGGTGGCGGATGCCTTAAGCCGAAACGCTCAAGTAGCGGGGTTAAAAATTAAGGAGTGCGATCCGTTAGAATCCGTTTGTGAGTGGAAACCCTGCCTTAGAAGTCATAAGGTGACTTTTGGTAATGTGAAGGTAACGTACACCCTACTAGAGCGAATTACAGAAGCCCAAAAAGAAGACTCTATGGTACGGAAGTGGGGAGTGAAAGTGGAGAAATCATGGGATAGAGGAGGCTGCCTGGGAGGTGGAAGAAGAAATGCAAAAGAAATACCCTGAACTGTTTAAAAATCAAGGTGAGAAATTTCAAGGGCGAAATTCTTTTAAGGGGGAGAGAGTATGAGAACCCGTAATTTTCTTATTTTCTAGGTTTTATTTTATTTAATTGCACGCCATTTCTATATTTTCATTATTAGGAAAATTTTCTAGATAATTTTATGATTAAATATGCTTTTTAAATCATTTTTCCAGTATAAATTAGTTCATGAGAAATTAGGAGTGTATACCGGGCGTGGGACCCGCTAGTGCGGACAGTTCGATAAAATTCGGCCGATTAGGCTAGGTTTTGTATATAGAGATTAATTTACTAGGTGTTAAGAGATAATTAAAAGTTACCCAAATGGATTAGTGTGAGAGAGACAAAAGGATAGCTTTGAGCTCAAAAGGTGACAAGTGTCGCTTTGTGATTTAAAGTTGGACTTTGACCATTTACCACCTTTACTAAATAACCAAGAAATTGACCAAAATTCACCTTCATCATACATCTCTCTTGGCCGAATCTCTCCAGGAGGAAAAGAAAGAAAAACCTTCAACTCTCTTCAATCAATCTTGCTCAATCTTACAATTCAACCGTTTAAACTTCAAATTTCTTCACAAAAACCCTTAGCTAGGTAGTACTGAGGTAGTTGGTGGAGTGGTTTGGAATGAGGAGGTTCTAAGTTGGGTCTTTTCTTGAGTTTGCAAGGTAAGTGACTAAGGAACCTTTCTTTTGTTCTTGATAGTGTTCAATTAGTGGCTTGTGTGGGTTAAAGAGTTGGTTTTAAGCAAGATTTTATGATCTTTGGTAGAGATTGATGGGTTGTTATTTTTATTCATGATTTTTCTGATTTTATATGATTAATATGGGTTTGTCATGTATGATGGTCTAGTATGAGTTAGAATGAAGCTTCGGTATGTTAATTGTAGCTATTTGCGGAAAATTTCCGCTTTGTATGGAAAATTTCAGATTTAGGGTTTTGGAATTGGGGCTTTTCTAGGGTTGCTATAGGACTCTTGATTTGGCTTTATTTAAAGGGTATTGTGACCCTAATAAGTTGTATTAAATGGCCTATGGCTTGCAATGGTAATGGTGGTTGTGTTTGGGAAACATAAGTGAGTGAGTGTAGGATGCAAATTTGAAATTACAAGGGGAAATGCTGTCCAAATTGTAGGTTCATATGCTTTCTTGGATTTGGGTTGCTTTAGGGGTTAATTAGTGACCTTAGGGTTGCCTAAAACTTTAGCACCAAGTGCACCTTCCAATACTTTCAAGTTATTACGGTTTTACATTTGTGATGTGTGGTTCGGATTTATGACAGGTAATTGAGTCTCATTGTGTTTTATTGAATGTTTAGGGTGTGCCGGTGATGCTAGGCGCTCGTTGGACAGAAATTTATGAAATCTTCCTTTGTTTGATTGGTGAGTGTGCTACTCACATGATTGTTACTTCATGGCTTTGCTATACTTGCAATCTATGAATTGAATGCTTGCATATACTGTTGAGATTGATTGAGATGAGGGTGTACTTTATCACTCTCACGCTCTATGGCTTATGTGACTGTTTACGGTATCAATTGAATTTCACTTGAACATACTTGAACCAGTGTCGTTTGGACAAGTATCCAACGACCTTTGCTGTTAACATTGAGCTCAACCTCATTGGTGGTCAATCAAATCGAGCCAGCAAGGGTTTGGTCGAGGAAATTTACAAGCCATGGGGACTGTTTTATGGAATCATTGAGTATGAGACTCTTTATTCCAGTATACTCGAGTATTATCATTTCTGAACTATTTGGAGTTCGGGCCCGGTAGTGGTATGTGAGGTGGAAGGAATTGGAGAAAGTGGGCTCTACGGTTGGTTACTCTTTGTACATTGACGAAGAGTCAATGAGGCGAGATCAAAAATGGCAAGCAAGGAAAAGGGCTCTTGAGTGCCGTTCGTATCCTTTTAACATTCTTTATTGAAATATGGTGTTAACTAGTTCATTTATTGAATGAATATGATCTAAGTGGCTTTGTGCTTATATGAACTTCGTGCTTGGGTGATGGTTCCTCATTGGGCGAAAGTTCACCCTATTACCTTTGTTTTCCTTACAGGGAGATGAGTAACTTTTGGGAGACTGTGAATTTGGAAGCTGAGTTGAGCTAGTTTAATGTTCTTTTGTATAGCTCCTCAATGGTTGAAAAACCCTAAGTGTTTTTTGATCCATCCTCTTTTGAGTTGTAAATTTGGTACTTTATGTGTATAAACATGTTTGGTCAATATCATGTGTTATTTTGGCTTGTAAATGTTTAATTTCAGGGTTTATATGCTTTGTTGGTTTTTGGTTGGATTTCGGACAGGTTCGGACTTCAAACGGCAAAACGAAAAAATTTCGCGGGAAAGGGCACAGGCGAATCCGGCCAAGAATCCAGCCAGAACTTGGCCGGATTGCTAGCCGGATTGCCCTGGAAATTTTGGAATCCGACCATTTGCTCTCTGGCCCCAACTCGGCCGGATTGTGACGTGGTCGGCACTGTTCATGTGCGGCTCCGTTTTTCGTTTTTCCATTTCACGACTTTTGAATCGTTTGAGCGCGCTTTTATCTTCCGAAACGTTTTAGATTGTGTTTAACTGCCTCGTTAGTCTTGGCGAAAGCTCGGCAGGCAATCCGCTAACCCCTTTGGTACGCTTTAGGGGAAGGTGGGGCTGTCACAACTATGACCTCCTTTGGATAAAGCTCCCCTAGCTCCAACAATCCTTATTCCTCCCATTCCTCCTCCAATTTTGAAAGACTGAGTATTCTTACTTGTCTGTCCAGAAGTACGACTAGAAAAGTTCTTCTTCCTATTGTGAAAGTCCCTTACTTGCATTCTTGTACTCTCAACCCTTTGAGCTTTCTCGAGGGTCTCAGTAAAAGTAGAGATTTGGGCTGCGGCTACGCCCTCCTGGATTTCCACATTAAGTCTCTGTACAAACCGTCTTATCCGTTTTCGCTCATTAATTACCAACTCAAGGGCATACTTGGAAAGTTTAGTGAACTTCCCTTCATATTCCGCTACACTAAGGGTTTCTTGTTTCGACTTGATGAATTCATCCTCCCTTTTCTCTTGGATTAAGGGCGGAAGAAATTTCTCATTAAATTC